TATTTCAACTGCACGGAGCAGGTACAGTAGTTAGTACTAGTACCGCGTCCTGACGGGCACATCTTCATTGTTGTTGTTGTTGTTGTGATTGTACCGCACAAAGACGCGCCATACAAACGGCTGTACCTCATCATGACCGGCATATCTTGACGGCGTAACGGCTGTTGTGTTTGTTCTTGCACCGCACAAAGATGCGGCCATACACCCGACTGTGCATCATCATCGTCATGACACGCGGCACGTTCGTGGCTGTTGCTGTTGTTGTTATTGCACCACACAATGACGCTCCATACACACAGCTTCATCTCCATGGCTCTTGTTGTTGATATACATACATCACCACACAATGACGATGCCAACCTTTCTTGCTCTGCACCATTGTCTATCTTAATTTCATTGTTTCTCAGGTTGCGGGCATCCAAGATACGCGGTTCCAGTCCATGATGCCTGACCCGCTTCACTGGCTTGGGGTGACGAAGATCCACCGTTTCATCTCCATGAGCGACATGAAGTACGACGCCATCGTCTCCACGGTAAGAAGGAGCAGAACGAATACGAGTATGCAACTTTTGCATTTACCTGAGAAGATCCTTCCATGAGAAAGTATGTTTGGGACAAACAAATACACACACGGAAAGACTACCCGTTAGAGACATGCCCACCGTCGAACGGGATGTGTTGAGCCTTTTGAGTGAATGGAGGAAACCGGCAGGGTACATACTGGACTTATTTCGAGTCTGTTTAAGCCTATACACTGAAGATTGTAATATGTGTGCGACAAGAATGGACACGATCTATTGTAACCTTCATGAGAGAATGTGTGTGTGACAAAAACTTGGAATCGGTGTGATCCCTTCATGAAAGGTATTTACGCGACGAAGATTGGAGACGCTCTACTAGGAATGCGGCATAAGAGGACTACAGTTGTACAAAGCACTTCAAGGGAACGGTCGTCCTTGGATAGAAACGTAGTTTAGGGCTCGACGGGAGAAATTCCTCGAGTTTCATACGTGCGTTTTTTTTTTTTTTTCATGAAAGAGCAAGGGACTCACTTTGATTTTTGTTTGCTGTCATCATCACACGTTCCCGTCGCCCCGGCATCAAGAGGGTAACCGCGTAGGCCCGTAGCAGGTCTTGTATGCCTACCATGTACAGCAGTGGAAAACGTTTATTTGCACTACTGTGGTCTCGTCGGTATACACACGTAGACTTTTGCTGGTGTTGTTGGAAGCGAAGGTACAGCAGTATGAAGGAATCTGTCCCCTCAAGGCCTTCTTCTTGCCTCGACTGTGTTTCGTCGTGACGTCATGGCTGTGATCGTTGGTGGCTATTGACCGTTGTGTGTGTATTTTCATCCTATCATCCTATCTCAGGGCATCAAGATTGTGGAGCGGGTGGAGATCCCGCCGGAGCTTGTGCCCAAGGATGCGCAGGTGCGCCAAGGATTTAGGCTACAACAAATATCTTCTGGTGCCATTTTGATTTTTTTTTCTTTATTCAATGTAACGTTACTCTAAAGGTTTTCCATGCTGCGCAATATACAGTTTCTGCTATTCTTCAATACATTTATTCAATTCAAACATTACGCCCACGACGGTTTTCTTTGTTGCGCTTGTTTTTTTTTTTATAGTCTTGTCCGATCCCTTCGGAGTGGGCTGGCTCATGAGGGCACGGTGTCATCAAGGGGTGATGCGAAATGAAAACAAACGAAGGCAGTAGGGCCAACCCTTGCAGCTGCGGTGTGACGTTTCCCAAGCTGGCACAACCAGTGTCTTTTGACTTGAAGAGAAGGTCCCAGCGGACCTGAAACAAACCAAAAATATTTTTTTCACATCTGCTGTATACAGCAGTCTTTGGAGGTACGAGTGTGCCACGACCAAGACACAACAGGTCGCGCCAAGAGTATCGATCTACATGCGGCTGAAAATCTTCGGGGCAACGAAATCGCTCGGAATAAAACGTCGGATATCATTTTTTTCTTGGAATGTGTGTGGTGGGTCCTCAAGAGGTTTTCGGTTCGATGATGCCGTCATGTACTTCCTGTTAATTTCGCGTTTTTCGTGATTTTCTTGCGTTCTCCCTGCAGGTGGAAATCACGGCCAAAGTCTTCGGGGGATACCACGGGGGTTCCGGGTACAGCGGGGTAAGTGAAAGCGAATGTCACACAGTGAAGTGACTCCTGTGTATTTTCATATAAATACCTCTTGCGTTGATACTGTTCTCCTGCACGTATGTCCGTTTGTATGTACGTTTTGGTAGCGTGATATTTGTTGGTTTCATTTTGTTTCGCTTTTCCAGATGTGCAAAGAGAGGGGGGGGTGCGGCTGAATCCTTGTATCCGTTGTATCCGGTGTAACGGTTGGCTTCGGTATCTTGTACGAACAACTTCGTGCGCTCGCACCTCACGCATGTGCAGCAGAGCCATGGTAATGTACCATGGGTATTCTCGTGGAAACATAACCCTGCCCTCCCCCCAACGTGCTTTTGCGTGCTCGTCTTGCATCTCCGAAGCACACATTTTCTCGTCAGCCCCATCAGGGTTACGCGGGCGTACCCCCACCCCTTTCAGCCGTAAGGTAATACTGCGCCCAACGTTTGCGTATGTATGTCGTCGCCTCAAGGTTCCATTCAGCGATTAAGAAAAAACCGCGCCCAACGTTTGCGTTGTTGTCGCCTGCCTGCCTGCCTGCGTTCGTCAAGGTTAACGAGGATACTCTCAAGTCTACCAAGGGCAGAGAATACGACTACGCCGACGGGGAGGAGGGGGGAGAGCCCGGCGGGGGCGGTGAAAACGGCGATGAGAAGCCAACGGCAGCAGGATAACGCAGACCGCCTAGGAAAACGGTGCGCGGGGCGCATTCGGGGGCATGGGTCTTGCTTGCAACCCTCGAGAGAGATGCTACGTGCCGAGGGAGCTTGTGGCGAACGCCATCACAGGACACGCATAGGGTGGAGGGTGAGGAGTACTCATGTCAACGCATGCCGTAGTCAGTACACAAGTGGCTTGGCATTTGTACAATGCCGGAACACGATTTTCCCCGACCAAGGCTACGTTTACGACAAGGATGAACCAGAATCTGGTCATCATCCATGCGTTTGCTGTGCCGAACCAGACACCGGGGGGGAGAAATAACGCACAAGGCGCGTCGTTGGTGCTGCAGTTAGTTATTTTTGTCACAACCTCGTGAGGGCTGATCCTTGACGTACAACTTTAGGAAAAGGACTGCCGATTTTACCGTCTTCCGGGGGCACGAATAAAAGCCGTACTACTGGAGATAGTTTTAAACATGAACGTTGGCGCAATCAAAAAATCAAACGTGTACGCTGGGCGTCATTCGGAGCGTCCCCTAGCGTTGTGTCACGATCACAATAGTCAGAGGTAATAGACGACGCGAGAAAATCCTTTCGGAGCGTCCCCTAGCGTGTCCTCAAGCGGCTCGCGGCTTGTGCAAACGTGAAGTCGTGGGGGGGCAGGTACACGGGTGGAGGGTATTTCTTGCGGATGACGGCAAAGGTCTCCTGGGCATTGTATGCATAGTTATCTCGTGAATCAAGGTATAGCTAGGTGTGATTCGTGAGCGTACGAACGTGAAATTAACGTCGTTGGGGGGACAGCGTTCCTGGGCGTTTTCTCCTCATGTTCGTGAGAACGACGGCGTAGCTCATGGCGGAATAGTCTAGTCCCGTTTGTGCCGGATGGTATGCCTAGTCTACTACATGTCGCGGGTCGGCCCACTCAACGATTGGTCAGATGCTAGAAGCTTTGAGAGAGTTTTTTCATGTAAAGTTCAGGTGGGGAGAAGACGAAGAGGAATCTGCGCGAGGATGATGTTCGCGGAGACATCCAAAGATAGGGCGAAGAAAAGCATCACAACACGCGCTCAAGTTTGTGTCCTTACCTCTCTCTGACTCTTGTGCCTGCCGCAAGTCGCTGTTGCGTGGGGCAGAAATCAACGCGGCTGCATAGCTCAGCCGAGGATCCTACACCGGTCTTGTATCCTTCTTCGGTGGCGACGACAGAGTAGAGAAAGACAAGAAGTTCAGCCTCAACCAACCCGATTTTGATTATCGTTCCTTGTCTGCGGGCTCACACTACACAATTTTTCCGCCCATTGCAATGGTTTTTCTGCAGATACTTGTACATGTAGCCTAGTCTAGAGCAGGGAAGAAACCCACCTGCACGTGAAGGGTACTTTCGAGAGATGCGCACGGCCTCCGAATTGTCACTCTCACCACGCGGCCATTTTTGCCGCGGGGGGACGTACGGAGTGCAAGGCAACCAAAACATAAGACTATGCCTATTCCGCTGTGATGGTTGATTGACCAAACAAACGAAGTGGGTACCAAGATACGATGCTTGTGCAATTTACCGCACACTGCAGTACTGTAGTAGCACGTTATTCGCCTCGCCAACAAGGTCCCATGAAAGCCGCCGAAAACGAATGCCCATCATCGTACATGTGCTCAGCACTCTAGTTTGGCTAAGAATCGAACAATGTTATTCTAGCCATCTTTGCTCGCGAACAAATTAAAGCAAATACCGTGCTGCTACTACTACCGTATGCCTCTCCTGAGAGGAATCTTCTGGTTGACCACGGTTCGAAGCACGCGGCAACGAATGCTGTAAAGCGCTGATTTGAAGTGATGACAAAAAAAAAATGGTAAACGTCAAACCCAAGTGCCACCGTCGCTCAAAAGGGCAGACAAAAAAAGTGGCAGCAACATCCCTTGTCGCCTTTTGTTCACGGACGCAGCCTTCTGGTGTGCCGTCGTTGCTGCTGCCCTTATCCTTGGAACGGACAAGTACCGTATATGACACAAGATAAGACACCACCACCTGGACCAATTGTCAACGCTTGATTACTCCACGACGAAGAGGATGCATAAACGAAACGATACATTTTTGGAAAGCTCTCGACGAGACGGTTCCAACGCCACCGTTTTCAGCGCAGTGACTCTTTCTGTTGTTGAGAAACCGAGATTTGAAAAATCGGTCCAGGGGGTGTGTTATCTTGTGTTATATACGACTAAGCTCATCCGCATTGCTGCTGATACAACGAACGAACGAAGAGAAATACGAACTTGCGTCGCACGAAGTAGGTTTGTTGGGTCCCTCACGCGGGCTTTTATTCCTGCGCAATTTCACGTCTGCCTCAAGACGAACATTAATAGTCAGTCCCGCTTTTTTTCTTTGTATTTTCTCCTTCCTCCCGCGACTAGTACTAGCCCCGATCAGTGCCCACTTCCAAGAATATGGTAGCATTATATGCATAGTACCGCATGTTCAAGTGAAGGAGAGCACGGCAGCGTAGTGGTCCCTGAAGATTGTAACGCCGCATTATGCCAAGGGCTTTCGGCCAGCATTTTATATCGGGTACGTCGGCACTATTCAGACCATGACACCAATTTGAATGTGTCGCGCGATTTCACCGGTCTCGAACTGGGCGACGGGCCATAATTATTTACGCGGCCTTCCACAAGGGCCATAACTGCCCCCCCCCCCCCGCCCCCGTTCTTGGCCAATTACCTACTAGGCTCGGGGTATCTACAGTAACATTCAAATTCGAGCCATGCATACCACACATGAGAAGAAGATGTCATCATCGTCTCTGCCGTAAACAAACTGGTGGTGGTACAACGGAGCCTCGTCAGCAACTACCGTATATGACACAAGATAACACACCCCCTGGACCGATTTTCAAAGCTCGATTACTCCACGACAAAGAGGATGCATATACGAAACGATACATTTTCGAAAAGCTCTCGACGAGACGGTTTCAACGCCGCCGTTTTCGGCGCTGTGACTGTTCCTGCAGTTGAGAAATCGAGCTTCGAAAATCGGTCAAGGGGGTGTGTTATCTCGTGTCATATACGGTACTCACCACACCACACAAGCGCTTGCGAGACTCTGAGCGAACGAAATACTCTGCATTAACTACATGGGACATACAGCTTCCCAAAGTCGATCCGCTGGGGCAGACGGGCGGACAAGCCTTAGCCCGACGTTCGCATGGCGGTCTCCGAACACAATCAAGGACAAAATACTACAACACGACGGAGCAAGAGGCGTTGTCCAGGCCGGGACCAGCGGCGGCGGCGGAAGAACAACCCTCGGAAAAAAAACAGAAACTCCAAATATCCAAAAGGACAGCATTCTTTTTGCTATAACACGACGGAGCAGGAGGCGTCGTCCCGGTCGGGCTCGGCGCAGCCGACGGAAGAAAATCTTGGAAAAAACTCAGAAAATTCCGGAAAATCCTCAAGGATAGCATACTCTTTCTACAACACGACAGAGAAGGCGCCGCCCAGGCGGCACCGGCGGCGGTGGCGACGGAAATAAAAAAAACTCGGGAAATCCCGGGAAAAAATCCCTTCAAAATCGTGAAGGAAGATTCTCCGCGACGTCGACGAAGGCTGGGACCGGCAAGCGGCAAAATCCCGCAAGAACCTAGGAAAACTCCTGGAAAATTCCTCAAGGAGAGGTTTCCGCTACGTCGACGAAGGCGTCGTCCAGGTCGGGCTCAGAGGTGTCGTTGTTGTTCGTCCCCCCCGCGTCCACGGACATGGTGTAGTCGTAGTCGATGGTGGGCACGACGGACTGGATGAACTTGAGGAAGATGAAGAGGTACTGGTCAACGCGGGCCTCCTTACCGCCCTTCGTAAGGTTCTCCAGCATGATCTTCATCGTCGAGGCGTGCTGTTGTGTGTTTGGGGGAGTGGGTNGGGGGGGGGGGGGGGGGGGTTACGCGTGCTGTTTTTTATTTTTTGGAGGTGGGTGGGGGGTGCGGGGAGAGGAACGAAAAACTTATCGCGTGCTGTTGTTTTGTTGTTTGTGTTGTGTTTCCGTACCCCGAATAATACGCAGCGAGGACTTCTAAAACAAATTGGGGAGGCGTGTCCAAAATTTTTGTGACATTAAGTACAAGCTGTGTGTACGTGTATCAGGTTCTAAGGACGGTCTTCCTTCTCGAGCTCGTTGTGGCTCGATACCGTTGCCCATCATCTTGGTCCGATCGTCGGCTTGGCCTTGCGACGGGCCATTCCCTGGCGGTTGTAGGGCCAACGAAGGCGGCGTTGACGGCCATGTAGTACCAACGCACGCCCTTTTCTGCGCTTGCTCAACGAAACACTATTTTCTGCGTCCTACTCTGAATGTAGTGTCTACACACACCCATTTTTTCGAGTCTTGGTAGGTGTACGAACGCGTCTGCCAAAACAAAGCTCCACATCTGCTATGTTGTCCAACGAGATTTGTTCCTTGCCCTTCCTTCCTTGCCTTGCAGGGGTGAACGGAGGCGTGGTGCGAAGCCAGATGGGGGTGGGGCTCCATGGTAACCGTCTGTCTGGCGTAGTCCTGCATGACGTCCTCGAACACCTCCTCTGCCGACAGGGGTTGCCCCGACTTCGACAAAAGATGAAACGAA